TGACTTGAGGAGGGACTAAGCAGAAGCACTCAAGTGGCTTTGGAAAAATTGCTGGAGTCACGAGCTCCAGTGGGTTGGGGTCAGCCAGCTGAGCTGCCTGAGTTTTGCACCAAGGGAACTGGTTGGCAATGGGCCTGTTCTGAAAGCTGTCAAAGCAAATGCTGCTCCCTTGCTCCCTTTTCTTGTTCTTGCTAAAATGAAGATGACAAACTGAACAGAGGTCAAGACCTCAATAATTACAGTGACTGCCACAAAAGCAGCGTGAACTCCAGTTCCCATTACTTAAGTTTCAAGTGTTAGCCATGCATCAATGGAGTCAATTAAAATGTGACCTAAACATCACGCAGGAGCAACTATTTCCAAGTCCCATAATGAAAAGCAAAGGGTTATCACTTTTCATCATCTGTAGGCATTACTTGTATATAGTCCCTTCTCTTCTCTGTGGATTCTTTTTCTATTCATCCCCCTGCAGTGAAAAGTGGAGCTAGTTACAGAGCCCAGAATCTAGGACAGCCTTTTAAACATCTCTCCTGTGTGGTGGTATTTCCTACTCACCTACTCAGTGATGACCTGCTGATTAGAGAGCTCAGAAGGCTATTTCTGCTATCGGAAATACCTGCTGACGGAGTGACAAGGCTAGAGAAAGCGATCAGGCTGATGAATTTACTGAGTGAGAAAATGTCTCCTGCCCTGCACCCTACAGGGAGACTACACAAAGGCAACGTGGGTTACAACCAGCAGACGCCACATCTGACTTGGGTCAACCTCTTTTTTTATTGTGAAGGTTCTTGAGTTGACAGCTCTGATTTTTACCCTAAACACACAGTGTGTTTTGCAGACTTTGGAGTCAACCTATATTAGGAATATATACATAAGAGTAGCTTCTGTGGGACTTTATGGTGTGTGGTTGATCTCACACACAGACAGCTTCCCTTCTGTCCTTGGGGAGGAGGCAGAAGTGGGTAGGGGACCTGTGGTTGACTGTTTTTCTTGAGGAAAACCTTGACTTATAGCCTCCCTCCTGGATTCTGTGATTTTTATCTGCTTAGTGATGCAAGCGTCATGACGAATATTCCAGACTGTTGTTGGAAAGAGGAGATAAGAGCCTGTCAGAGCTTCTTCTCTAGTGAGCTTAAGCTGTTTCGTACAAGTCCTGAAGTCTGAAAAATAGAGATTATTAGAATGAGTTATGTTTTTGGAGTGCGTTGCGTTGCCCGGAGGCTGCGCAGCTCTGCGATGTACTTAATGTTTTCTTCCTGATTGTGCTTTTCTTAGGACTGACTCAAATCCCCCAGGTACAAAAGACAGAAATTTCCTTTACTGCCTCCGATCCCAAAAGTTTTGAGCCGTATGTGAAGAACCTTGAGAAGTTCTTAAAGGACTACAGCGCTGATCAACAAACTGAAAACATAGTGTTTCAGGACTGTGGGGGTAAGTCTCGATTGTTTCCTGCAGCTGAGGGCTCTGAGCTGTGCCTCTGCGTCAGGTCCATCCAAAGCTGGGAGGGAGCAGTCGTGGTCTCTGTCTTTGGCTGTTCCTTGTTGTAACCAATGGCCTGTTGGTAAACTGGCAGGCTCTGGTTTCACGCATATGGCTGCTCATTAAATGAATGGTTTGGACAGAGCGGACTTGGCCAGGGATGCACCTAGAAGCTGATGGTAGAGGTTAATGGTTGGGAACTTACAGCTTTCACTTGGAGAAAGTTGCAGCCGACTCTGAAAAGCACATGGCACTGACCATATCCTCTCTAAAAGCTACGGGGGTTTTACTGATGACTTTGCTAAAGCCAGTGTTGGTCCTCTTGAGGCAGTGCAGCAAAATGTCTGGGAGGTATTAACCTTTAATAGATTATATGTAATAATGCAGAATGAGACTATCACCTCAGAATACATGCATGTAAAATCTGAGGGGAACCAGCTTGTAAAACGTGCTATGAAGAAAAAAAAAAATCTCTGAGCCAGTGGATTACAAATATGTTCGTTCTCTCATAGTCTGGAAGAATCCTCAGTTAAAAAACAAAACCCTCATAAACTTGCTGGTCTGGGACCAGCCCAGATATGGAGGGAGGATGGCTGGGTGCAGGTCTGTGGTGTCAGCCTTGAGCAGGTGGTGTCACTTACCTGTTTGGAGGAGTGGGAAATCCTAACTACACAGTGAAGCAAAAGTGTCACTGATCCTGATGAGCAAAAGGTCACGTTGCATACGGTTGTCTTTTCGTTCCCCCCACCATGACAGACATACCTACCGATTACAAGGAGAGAGGACCATACAGTGATGTCCAGGGCCAGAAGAAGGTCTGCAAATTCAAACGTGAATGGCTGGAAAACTGTTCTGGAATCAATGATCCCACCTTTGGGTACAGGGACGGCAAACCATGCATCCTCGTCAAGCTCAACAGAATCATTGGCTTCAAACCCAAGGCAAGTATCTCTTCCCTTTCTAGCAGAAGCTGCTGATAAGGAGGAGGAGTTGGCTGCAGACTTGCTGTGCCTGCTTTTCTGGAGGGAGATCAGACTTGCTGTGCCTGTCTCTGGAGGGAGATCAGTATTACAGAGAAGAAATTATGAGGCCATTTGAGTCACTGGCTTTAAAAATACTTCCTATTAAAAAGCAATGAAAAGGGTGCACTGCAAGTTGATAACAAGCAGTGGTGAACCTCACAGCGCAAATTCCTGATTATTTATCTGGTAACTTCTGAGCCTGACAACTGAATTGCTCTAATTGGGTGTTCTCTTCAAATGATAAAACCCATTTTAAGTTCCCGTGTGCTTCCATGGGACCATCCCAGACGGACTCTACCCATAGTAAGATCAGTACTTTGTGTCATGCCCCGATCTACTCCATTGTTTCTTCAGGCAGTGTGGAGTTGCCTACCTTGCTAAAACCACTTAATTAAATGAAGTCGTGCTACTGTTCACTATCAGACTGAGATGTAGTCTGTAAAGTGTAAACCACACCTGAGAGTCAGACACAGCTCTTTAGGTTATTTAATGGGGTTTCCCAGATGTTGTAGGATGTCTCTGTCACCTGCCTGCTCTTGTGCTGCACCTGATGGCATGTTTGCAGTAGTGCTGAAGGATGTTAATCTGGACAGGAATGGCTTTTACTTCTATTTTTTTCCCGCAACACATTTCAATGCTAAAAAATTCTCCTTAAGAATTTGGTGGCAGAGCATGTGTTACTGGATAAGGTGGTGTGCAAAACCTGCCACTCCATCTTCAGGATGGAAAACCATGTGAACAGTGGTGCCAAGCCACCTTTACCACCATCCATCGGTGTAGTTGAGGACGGCGAATGGTGCTGTCTAGCTAATGTGTTCTGAGGAATGTTTTTCTTCGAAGGGAGCGTGCCCTGTGCTGAACGAAATTAATTGAATTTTGGCGTACCTGATCCAGGGTGGAAACAGTGGGTGCACTTTAGCAGGAACATGCTGTGCTGGTCTGTTGTGGTTGTGGGGTGACCCAAGTGCATGTGTGTGATGACTGAGGAAGAGAATGTTTTGGCATGTTCCCCTTTTCTTTGCCACAGAGCTCCGAAGAGCTGCAGACAGCGTTAGGCAGCATGGTCTGCACACGTTTCATTTAGAAATGACCCGCAGATCAAGGCAATGCTTGTTTCCCTCATTCCATGCTTCAGGGTCTCTAGCGCTTGTGTTAGGCAGGGCTTGTGCAAAGCTGATCTGAGACCTGCAGGGTTGCGAAGCAGAACTACTGTGCTTAAGAGACAAAAGACCAACACCGCAGTTGGCACTCCCACCTTTCCCTGACATACTCGGGGCCTTTGCCCTTCCCTGTAGGTGGTGACGAAGTGCAGCAACGTTGGGGTGTGGCTGCCGCTCTTTGTTCTCTCTTCTGCATTTCCAGCCCTAGCTGCATGCGCCTGGCAGGCAGGTGCCAAACCCTCCACCAGCGCGTCTCTTCCTCCCGCTGCCTGGGCTTCGCACAGACAAGCCCTGCCAGCTAGCACTCTGCTGTGAAATCAGTGACACCACAAAATGGAAAATAGCCTGATCTGCTTGCCATGGTATCCGTGGCAGTAAAGCCGTAAGAAGAGACAACAGCTCTGCTTGGGTTACGTTCTCCGGCTTCTGGTTGTGTTACGCTGCGTCTGTCCCAGCAACCACCACCCAGAGCTGTTGCCTCTGAAACTGAGTTAGAAGGGGTTTCAGTTGATGGCACATGTGTGGTACCACTGAGCTTTGCTGTTGCAACGGTGCTGCAGTCTGCAGAGAAGTGTCCGCTGTGTAACATCCCCTTGTTTTGGGTTTCTTCTAGGCTCCGGTAAATGAGAGCCTCCCTCCAGAGGTTATGGCAAAATACAACCCGTATCTCATCCCTGTCCACTGTGCTGCCAAGGTAAGTTGAAATACAGCAGAGCTGAAGGGGAAGGCTCTCTAAGTCTTTGTCCAAGTGTAGTGACCCCTCTCTGCCTTTCCGCAGACCCCTGGGGTGGCTCTTACTTGGGATGTCTCCCCCTCCAAACAGGAGTTTCTCAAAACTCCACTGGTGACAAGTGACAGGTAGTGCTGCCCTCACAGGGAGAGGTTAAAAGCAGGGCTGGAGAGCAAATGGTATTTTCAGAAGTAGCTATTTTGCTTCCAAGTGCTATACCGGAGCTCTTAGCAGGGATGGCTGAGAAAGGACGCCAGGGACGAGGTACTTTACTTGGCATTGTAAAGCGGCTGAGAAGAGGCAAATTTTTTTAAGCCAAAGATAGTGCATTGGTAGGACAGGAAGCTGTGGTGACTTCTGAAATGGTAAAGTTGAGTTTTTAAATAAAGAAAATCCCTTTTCTTGGCTGATGCTTATTGTGTAGCTGCTGGTTGGACAGCACTTAAGTGTCCTTTCCACCATCGGGACTGTCCTTGTGCTGTCAAGATGAGGATCAGTGATGACTAAAGAGAGGTTGCAGTCTTAGTGGAAAAACAGATGCTGCTAGGGAAAAGGTGAGAGTCTGGGTGATGGTCATTGTTTTTTCTTCCTTTTCCTGCCTCCCTAGAGAGAGGAAGATGCTGACAAAATAGGCGCAGTGGAGTACTATGGGATGGGCGGCTACCCTGGCTTTGCCCTGCAGTACTACCCCTACTACGGCAAGCTCCTGCAGCCGCGGTACCTGCAGCCACTGGTGGCAGTGCAGTTCACCAACCTGACCTACGACACGGAGGTGCGTGTGGAATGCAGGGCCTACGGGCAGAACATCCAGTACAGTGACAAAGACCGCTTCCAGGGACGCTTTGATATTAAATTTGACATAAAAAGCAGCTGATTGTAAGCACAACTCTCTTCCCCCCACCCCCTCCTCCTAGCCATTTAAAAAGGTTAAAAAAAAAAAAGAACAAAAAAGAAAACCTCCTAGTCTTGAACAAACTGTCATACGTATGGGACCTACACGTAATCTATATGCTTTACACTAGCTTTCTGCATTTACTAGGTTAGAATGTAAACAAAGTGTAGCAATAGTGACAAATATTTATTCTACTGTAAATGACAAAAGAAAACAAAATTGAGCCTTGGGACATGCCCATTTTTACTGTAAATTATGATTCCATAACTGACTTGTAGTAAGCAGTGTTTCTGGCCCCTAAGTATTGCTGCCTTGTGTATTTTATTTAGTGTACAGTACTATAGGTGCATACTCTGGTCATTTTTCAAGCCATGTATTGTATCTGTTTTCTACTTCTTGTGAGCAAAGACATTTGCTGTCCAAGGTGTAAATACTCAATGGGACTAGAACTGGCATGATACTTCTCATTATTTTGTTCCTTTTCAAAGAAAGGCCCACCTGTGAGACTATATTTAACAGCACTCCATTCGGCTTCTGACTTTTCTGCGGTGTTAGGGTATTTTATTTGGAGGGGTGGCAGGGGAAACTATAACTTAAGTGAAGTTAAAGAGAATAGATGATTGTGTACTGTGCTTTGTAGCGAATGCTGTCTCTCTCTCTCTCCACCTTCTCCCTCATCCTTCAGTATGTTGTGTGAGAGACTGGGTCAGACTATCACTCTCCTCAGTGATAGGCGTAACTCTTTGCTTTGTATATTTTCTTTTCTTTTTCTCCTTTTTTTTTCCTGCTGGAGGCATCGCACACTGTGGTGCTAATGTCTTTATTGAATGTTTTAACCATTTTCATGGTGGAAGAATTTTATATTTATGCAGTTGTACAATTTTATTTTTTTCTGCAAGAAAGTGTAATGTATGAAATAAACCAAAGTCACATGTTTGAAAATAAATCTTTATTTTAAACTTTATAAAAGCAATGCAGTACCCCATAGAATGGTGTTAAATGTTGTCTAAAGTGCAAAACTCTATGTTCTAACATGTAATAATAGCCAGGAGTACAGTGCTCTTGTTGATCTTGTATTTCAGTCAGGTTGAAACATTGGACAAATAAATGAATGAACACATAGTTCTGTGTGCGTGTCTCTTGGGTTGGGTGAGGATGGAGGCTGTTAGTTGTCCAGAATCTTGAAGAAGTACTGCACCTATTCAAACAGAAAAACACATCTTTCACCCCCAGAAGGCCTGAGCTGCAGCTTGTGGAGACATGCATTGGGATTGCCTTAAATTGCTCCTCCTGCCTGTGAGCAAATGTGTTGTGCATCAGTTGTGGAATGGAGGGGGGTGGTGTTACTTGTTTTTCCCCCTTCCTGAGCTGAGCAGCAGAGGCATTAGAGGCTGCCTGTGGCACACACCTGTGATCCCAAACATTCAGGAATCCAAAAAGTCTTCAGTGTATTCACTGTGACTGCACATCCTCCACTGCTGGAGCTACAGGCCATGCATTCTAGCAGTAACTACAAGTAAAAGCAGTTTACCCTTAGCCTGGTTAAAGCATCCCCCAGGAGTGTCTGTGGTGGGGCAGAGAGGGTCCACACTGAAGTAACAAGCAGAAGAAACTGAGTTTGGTGGCAGCAACTTGTTCTGCATTGCTGCTGGGGCAGTAGCGCAGCGCTGCATGCAGGCAATGACTGACTGGCCTGCTCAGGTGTGGCAGAACATGGAAGCTGACTTCCTGCAGGAGTCAAGATCACTTTATGGTGCATGATGCAGATTACCAGGGGGAATTTCTCCCTGTAAAATGGCAAAACACAACTATGCTGGAGCAAGCTGCTCAATAAAGCCTTCCTCATCAGCACCCACCCTGCTGGAAAAGTGAGCTGCTAAACTTTTTGCTATCTGCTAGAAGGAAAAGCATAGTTACGGTGCAGTGTGGTGGTTAGCACATGCATTTGGGTCTTTCACATTATTCCCGAGGAGGGGGAGCTAGGGCAACTCTGACCTTCACCTGTTTCGTTCACTTCTGTGTGTTTATAGTGTGGATTTAACAAAGACGCTGTGACTAAAGCACTAAAATACTCCGTGAGGGAAGCTCCACCTGCATGAGAGCGCTGCAGGAAAGCTGAACCATTTTGGCTCCCAGCACTTGGTGGTGGGTTTACTATGGCCACCATTTGGGAGGGTTGCATGGCTCAGCCTTTGGTAGCATCAACTGCGCCTACAATTCCATCCGTAGGTGCATAGCCTGTGACAGTTTAAAAAACCCAACAAAACAACACAACAAAAACCTCCATTGCTTTAGTTGTAGATGAACCAATGCAGAGTTAGATAATTTACCTCCTTTTAATATATGAGCTCATATACTATATGAGCACAAAGTCCAAGCATGAACGGGTAATAAAGATAATGGCTTATTCCAGGCATTGGGACAAACATTGTAGAAAGCTTATGGTGCCTGTGCTGGCTTCAGTGAGCAAGTGTCAAAAGGTGCTCGTATAATAATGTACTCTTAGTAACAACAGCATATGAAATAAAGCAAAAACAAACCTTCTCCCTCACCTCCCTGATCACCTTCTTGTACCAAATGAGTGAAAGCAGGACAGCCAGCTCTGATCACTAATTAACTAGGCAGTACCTGGCTACGCACCCTGCAGCCACCCCCGAAAAGACCCAACTCACCACAGGCCTCATGGCAAGTACCAAACGGTACCTCTGCTACCAAAGGAAGGGCTGCACTCCACCACCCCCCAAAAAACACCCCCACAACCTGCATGGCCAGACATTGTTCCCTCCTCCCCATTAGACATGCAGCTGCAGTTTGTCAGACCTAGTAGAGATACAGCATTAAATGGCTGCAGGATGTTTGTTTAAAAAAAACTAAACCAACCCAACCCGCAGCACAAGGCAAGCCGGTGCAGCCTTCTGGGCAGGCAGCTCACGCGGTGGCACCAGAACTTTGGGTGTACAACTGCGGTGATGCTGAAACCGCCTTTCACGAAATGCTGCTGACACAGCTTTGCTGTCCTAAGAAGTGGCTGGTCAAAAGCCCTGGGGTGAGTGGGGAGCAGGGGAAGGGGGGGGTCCAGATGTGACATCTCATAAACCAACGCAATGCAAATTTTAAATTGGAAGATGATTGATGATTTTTTTTTTTTTTTTAATCTGAGCTGTATTGCCTATGTAAGATCTATTCTTGGGAAGGCATCGCTTTCCTTGCTGCCTAATAAGACTTTATAAACTGTCAGATTGGCTCAATGTAGTTAAGTGTAATTGTAGCCATTACAGTGCATCTTATCTCCCTGCTTGTAAATACAGGATACCTGTATTTCAAGGTTAGAGTGCCACACAAAAATACCAATAAAATAAAAAGCAGAGACAGACACACACACACACACATTTAAGGACAAGAACCTCTCAGGCTCTGTCTGCATGAGCACTTGCACCAACACACACACCAGCTACTAGTTTTACAGCTCTGAGCATTGGCACTTCGGGGCTTCTGCTCCCAGTTTGGCCGAGGGCAGCTGGCTGGCGCGGGCCAGGCGTGACCCTCGGCGTGTGCAGGGAGGTACGCCGAGAGCAAAGACAAGGGACCAGCGTGGTGGAGTCTGCTCCCTTGCGGGCAGTAATTCTGGCTCTTGGGGCACGGACAGACCTGCTGCCACCGCAGGCCCCATTTCCCCGAGACAGGGCAGGTTTAATAGAGCTGTGTCACCTCCCACCGCTGCCCGCACTCCCTCGGGCAGAGCCGTGCGGCCCCCCCGGGGCTGGTTAGGTACCGATCCGCCCCTGCGGCACACACCGATACAGGTGAATGCTGTCCTCGCCCAGCTCCTGCTCGCTTGCTCTTAGCAGCAAAAGGCACTGCGCTATTTTAGTCCTTAAAAGCCCTTGATTTTGTGCAACCAATTTTCCCAGGCCAGGCTGAATAACCTCAGCTTACTTACAACCTATGGAAAACCTCTTCCTCCTCAATTAGCTTTTATTGGATTGTTGAAGATCTGCGCAGACTGTACTGTCAGGGCTCGGACATCAGAACAAGCACACTACGTATTGTATAATGTGCAAAACTAGCTGCCGGTATGTTCTCTTTACATATAATTATCTTTATGTGGGTCAGCTGCCACCCAGCTCCCAGTAAAACCAGTTAAGAGCTGGCATAGCTGTGGTATACAGAAAGGATCCTCCTCTTCAAGAAAGAACCTCACCCTCGAGAGCATGGCAGTGCTGGACAAGAAACACCAGAAATAAGGGCCATCTGTGACCCCACTCCCACGACATCACATACGGTGTTCTGCAGAAGAACCAAAACTGAGGATTTCCACACTACCAAGAGATTTGGGGTGCCCGCATCTTATGAGGTGCCAGCTGGAGACAGCTCGAAGAACCCTATTCTAAAAGCACCAGGTTCTTTTCCAAGGGAGTCCAGGACTTGGAGGAGGTGCTTGCACTGAGCACCCAGGTGGGGGTTAGGTATTCTGAAGCACTCTATTTTAGGAAATAGTTACCTTATTTCCCAGGGTCCAATTATAGTATAAACCACAGAAAAGGGATCTGTGTCTCTACAAAACATCTCAACAAGCCTCACATTTGACCCAGGGCAAGGTCAGCTTCCCTGAGCCAAGCACACCTCTGGTCTCTTTACAGGACCCAAAGGTGGCAGAGGACAAACCCACACCAGGAACTGATCTGAAACCAGCCAAACACATTTCAGAGATGCTACCCAAATACCCTTCAAACAATGCTAACATTCAGGTGTGCTCACCCCTTCCCAGGGATGAAACAGGATTAACTTTAATGTCAGTACTCTCCTTACAGCTCACAGGAACCATCTACCTGCTTTACAGCACGCAGCGATGCTGGCTCTAGCTCTTGTCCTGGGACAAGTAACAATAATGCTCAGGAAGTAATAATGGGTGAATAACTGTGACTCTGTAAACTGTTTGACCAAGGAGGAGCTGAGAGCTGCTTTAGTTCCACAAAGTTTTGCTTCAGTCACACACGCTCTGCAAAACTCGCATTAATGAAGTTGGCCACTCCCTCTGGGCGCTTCCATGCGTTACCGCAAAGTTTCAAGAGTTAATAGAGCAGACAATAACAAAATCCAGTCCAGTGCCCTGGCTGAGCACAAACAATTGTCATCTGAACAATGTGTACCCTAAGGGCACGGAGAGTACAGGCAAAATAAATAAAAAAAAAAAAAAAAAGAAGAAAAAAGAAAAAAAAAAAGAAAAAAAAGGGGGAAGCAAATAAAGTGAGGCAGACAGTCTTCCAAGGGAGAGCAAAAGATCTTGGAAGATCTTGGTAATAACATGGGACCGAGCACAGGCACAAAGCATCCTGAAGATTTCAAGTGTAAGAATTATAGACGTCTACAATTTAATTCCCCTGCCCAGAAAACAAAGCAAAAAGCAGTGCTGATCAGAGGTGCCAGCTTGAGCACCTTTGGAGTCTAAGCTTTTGTCTACAGGACAGACCAAGGTACACCTCGAATGTACCATTCAGCATATCATACAGCTTGCCTCAAAGAAAACCCCAGCACTGAAAGGGTACCTCAACGTTCACAGTCCATTATCTTTTTGATAAGAGACCCTGTTAGTATCGTTCATGGCATAAGCAAGGGGGCTGTCGGGCAGCCATACTAGTAGGAAATATGCTGCGATCACAGATTGACTTCTCACCCATCACCAGAAAGATGATGGCAATTTCAGTCCTTCCTCACCTCCGCCAGACCAAAACTGGCAGCCAGGAGATGGAAGGCTCTTTCATCCCTGTATTCATTTAGAGCCTGTCAGTCATCTCAGTGCCTTTCATGCAGCTGGACAGACACTCGCTGGTACCCTCTCCCCAAAACCACCACAAAACTGTATCTCCTGGGTTCAGTGTAGGTATCCAGGCACATGATCCATAGAGTCTTTGCTGACCTAAAGTTTCAGCATCAGTACACTCTCCCTAAACACTTACCATTTTTTACAGATTATCTCAGTTTGAGGTCACTGGTAGGAACCAAAAATCTCTCTTTGCCCATTAATCTTGGTTTGTACATCAGCATGAACCTGCCAACTCTGTTAAGCCAGTGCACTTGCTAACACCTAAAATGCATTTCAGCTACAGTTCACTCAGCTGA